CAGACGAAGTGTCTCATCGTCTTCAAATTCATTGAGACAGACCGCGCATTCCAAGGCTCCCTTCCGATCTTCCGGTCTTTGACTTCGGTGTAGGCGAAAGTGGGAAACTTTTCGATGACTGATGGATCTAGGCCACGCGCTGCGGCGGCGCGTCGGGAGCGCATGGAGAGGACGGCGCGGACGCTGTTGCCATTGGAGGAGTTGGAGCAGTGGCGGATATAGATGGATAAGAAACCCATTAAGAAGAGGGCGGCGATGAGGACTACGATTATAATCGCCATCGAAGGGCTGAAATTGTTGTATCGGTATTGGTTGTTGATTTCTGGTGGACTGGATTGTGATCGGACGGTGGGAGAAAGGAGGAGGAGGAGGAGGAGGAGGAGAGGAATAATTGCATGGTTAGAAGTGAAGGTGAATCTGTGTAGGCCGGCATGGCTGTTGCTATTCTTGTCGTCGGTGGTCATTCTACAAAAAATTAAAAGCTTCAAGGTTTTGATTTTAGATAAGAAACATGAATTGTGTTAACTATGTGAAAAATTGCGCCGGAAAAAGGATGGGGATGGCAGGGGAGGATGAGTTGCGGGAAGTATATGTGTGAATCTATATACAAAGTGGCAGAGGGAAGGTGAGAGGAGGGTAATGTTTTTCAAGTCAAAGACTCCGAGCTAAAGCATTCTCTCAGGTGGGGTCGAAAACTCGAAGAGAAGCTTCTGGTGGGGGTTCCTCAAGTTTCTAAGAAAGCACTCATGTTAGTTTTTTTTATTTTAATTGAAATAGTGTTTTGATTAATTTATGCGTATTTTGATTAATTTTTTTTTAGTTTAATTAAAGATAAATTATACATACCGGAACAAGTTTTCTCTCTGGTCTGATCCAAATCATCCACATCGAGAATATGATATTCATAAAGTATAAACCCGAATTCAGATACTTTCATTACTCATTCTCTTCAATTTTTCTAAATACAATGGTAAATGAGTGATATATGTAATATTCTAAATTTCAATAGACATGATTTTTTTTCTTTTGAAAAAATTCTTTAATAATGGTTAACACTCCATCAATAATAAAATGAATGAGGAAAAATATTGTTTATTAAAATACAAAATCTTACATATGTCACTTATCTAGTATTGAATTAAAGAAAATTGAAGAAAAAGAGTAATGGAGGAGATCTAAATCTGATAAACCCCTCTTGGTCTGGATTGAAAAAGAGCTTAAATCAAATGGATTATGTTATCTTAAGTTCTAAGATCTATTTAAAAATATTGATTCGATGGATCAGATTTACTCTCAAATTTCATTTTCCAACCCAAACCCATTTGCATTTAATTTCCCAAATTGACTCTATGCCTTATTTTGTGGGTGTCCTGTATTCCATTCCTAGTAGGAAACTAACTTAAACTTTATTTTCTTTAGTGATTTAGAAAGGTGGAAGTCTTAGGGGCTGTTTAATAACACTATTTAAGACTTAAAATTGAATACTTTAACCAATTAATAAATTAAATTCATTTGATAACCAAAATCTCATAATACTTAATATTTTAAGCACTTTTTGAAAAATGGCTAAAATTTTAAGTAATAAGCCACCTACTTATCACTTAATGCTAAAAATATTAATCAATAAATATTTTATTAATTTCTCGTAATAGACAAATATACCCTCACCACCATTATGTCATTATCACCACCACTAACACTATCACCACCACTACCATTATTGTATCACCACCACCACCACAACCATCGTTGTCACCACCACCATTGTTGCACCGGCACTACCATTGTCGCCACCACCACCACCACTTCTACCACCACCACCACCATCATCACCATCATTGTGTTGTTGTTACCACCACTACCATTATTTCACCGCCACCACTACCATTATTTTACCGCCACCACCACCATTATGGCACTAACACCACCACTATTGTCGCCTCAACTGCCACCACCACTACTATGGTGATACTGCTACCGCCACCATCACTACTACTGTCATTGCCATCACCATTACTACCATTGCCATCATTGTCGCGCACCACTGCCATTGTGTCAACGTCACCATCACCATCGCTATAGCAACCACTACCATTGTGCTATCGCCACCACGACCATCATCATTGTTGTCACCACCACCACCGTCGCCACCACCATTACCACCACCACTGTCGCCACCACCATTGTGTTGGTGGTGATCAAAATAATGCAGTTGTGGAGAGACAGTTAAAGAGTAAGACAAAATTAGAATAATAATAATTTTCAGACTTCAGCTCCTTATATTTTCAAACAGTTTGATTAATTTCAATACTTAAATTTCAATTGATACCAAATAATCTATGAATTAAAAAAATTAGCATTCAACATTTAAAATTCAACATTCAATTTTCAATGTCCAGCTTTCAGTTTTATCAAACACCACCTTAGAATTTCACTTCAAGTAAAAAACAAATTAGAAACCATATTGTATTAGGAAACAAAGTATTTTGGGTCCATAAATAAATTATAGACAGCTTAGTTTCATTTGGGTTTAGCCCTAGATTTTTGGGGATTTTGGCCCCTATTTTTGGCATCCATGTTTGGTTTTATTCTCTCAGTTAGAGAATTTTGTGTAATCTCCTTTTGTTGATAGTGAAACTTTGTCACTGCACTTCACTCGTGGATGTAAGCTTTTGAGTCGATCCAAGTAAATTTTTGTTTTGAATTATTTTTTTATTTTGTTCAATTTGTTTGTTTGTGGCTTTTTTTCATAACAAACTGATAGCAAAGTTTACGGTTTCGAGATGACTAAAACAAAATTTAAAGTTGAAAAATTTTGTAATCAGAATAATTTCATTCTATAGCAGATTGAATTATACATCATTGTTTTGACGGAATAGTTTGACAAAAATTCTTGAGAAAATACTGTGATCAACACTGATAGAAATTCAATAGATTTGCTATTGTGTATATGTAAACCCCCCACATGTTTATATTAATATAATAATATAATTGTTTAGTAATTCTAATATATGTAATGACATAAGAATGAACCACATAGATTATAACAGTATAAATAACTATTGGGAAGCAAAGTGATTGTGAAGTTTAAGTTGCGAAGGTATTTAAGCTTGGAAGAGGTTGTTAGGTAAGTTCAAAATATTTTTAGGTCAAAATAAGATTTCCATTGAATTTGGAAGGTCGAGAAACCTTGGGAGAAGTAATATGGGGTATATTAGAAGTGAGGAAGTATTTCGAAGTTAAAGCACACTTTGGAGAGAATTTGGATAAAAAGGATTTTGGACATTGCCTAGTGTTTTGATCATAAATTTTTATTCTGAAGTCCATTTGATCTGACATTTTGACAATGGATAGTAGACTTCTAGGTTACAAAAGTGTATTTTACGAAAATTTTTCAATTCGACCTCTAAATAGGCCAAAATTGCACTGAAAGTTGGAGCAAAAATCTGTCAATCAAACCGTACCGGTACGCAATACCAGTCCGCCCAACTCCAGAGGCTAAACAGTACCGGTACACAGTACCGGTACGCTTTATTTAAAGCTTGCCGAACAGTATAAAAATCAGGATTTTTATGCTTTAAAACACCATTCTAAGCCCCATTTTTCCCATTCTTTCATTCCACTCTCACTCCACACCTCTTAGAACCCTAGGAGAAGATAAAGAGAGAAAGAAAAGGGAGGAAGAAGGTCTTCAAAGCTTGCGCTTTTGATTTGAAATTCTTGATTACAAGGTAGGGGTTTCTTCTCATTCTCTTTCATTGAGGCTAGGGTTTACTTATATGTATGATTTTGACTCTAAATCTTATTTATTTGTTAGTAAATTATTGATTATTGATATTCTTGCAAACACTATCATGTTTTAAACAAATCTATGGTGGGATAACCCTGAAATCTCTTTTCTTGACTCAAAAACCTAGTTTTCAAGATAAATGGATTTTTCTCTTGATTTTTTCTTTATTCTTGATTTCAAAACTCTAGTGCTTTGTGTTGAGTAATAAAATGATGTTGTGATGATCTCTTGCTTATTTTCTTAAATTGCTCTCTTGTATTACAAATTGTGAGAATTGGGGATTTTAGAAATTATAAATTTTTATTGAGAAATTATTGGTGATTGTATTTCAGGGAGGTGTTTGGATGACCATGGGTGGCCGTTGACCGGATATCGTAGAGTGGGTAGATGTGGTGGTTCTTACTCCAGGCAGGTTTGAACTTTTTTTACCACTCGTAATGGGGTTAGTGCCTTGCGAGGACCAAATTACTATGAGCTTACAAGTGTCGTGTCAAAGGATTAGTATACTATGCCTGGGTTGGATTCGTTATTACCGGTGCATTGGTATGGGACAACGCATCGGTTGGCGCCCTTCCCAAAGTTTGATATCTTTGCGGGAATTTATGTGTGTGGGGGCCAGGATATTCTCGATGTTTTGATTCATGTGATTATCATACATCATGCTTGAGATACATATACATACTGTTGGAAAGGATCCAAGTTGGGGATTATTGTTATTGTTTGGACTTGGTTTCCTACAAGAGCTTGTGGAAGTATGAGATTCTACAAGAACTTGTGGAAAACGGATTATGGTTGGAAATGGTTTATTGCTGGGAAATTTATTTTACTGTTCATTTCATTATTGCTATTGGATGAACTTGAGATCTGTTTCAAATGTCCCTGTTTTCTTCAAAAATTTATATATGCTATTTGTGAAAGGTGACCGACTGTTTTTATATGTTTTTATAAACCTTGTTCGAGTTTGGAAGAAATATTACTACAAAACTGAGTGCTCACCCCCTACAAATTATATTTTTTAGATTGTGGTCTAGAGGAAGAACTCGGGATTGAGGAGCCAACACATTTGGAAGCTCCACTAGACGGGCTAGTGGATCTCGAGGTGGACATCTGGAGCTATAGTTTCTTTTTGTGCTAGGCTAGGGAATTTATTGACGATTATGTCTAGTCTAGTATTTTGTTACTCCGCTCCTAAGTTTAAATGTAATTCTTTTGAAACGTAATTGCCATAGCTTGACCTATTCTTTTGGGATGATATTGTAAATGATATATGTGATGAATGAAATGTTCTTAAATGATGGATTTATTTAGTTGCTTTCATGCTGTGAATGGTTTATAGATTGTAATGACGTGCAAGGTGAATTTTGGGGCGTTATAGATTTGATATCAAAGCTTAGACTTTAGGTCTTACATGAGAGCTGTAGATTATGGATTACCATTAAAGTGTAGGACTAGGTGGAATAGAATCGTTGATATAAATTCTACACACGTCTAATGCTTTAGATTAAAAGTATAGTCAGGAAGTCTTGTAAATCAATGAAACTAAATTGTGAATTGATGTGCATGATGGACGGTAGGCGTGGACGTGGACG